TTGGGCTCTGGGGCGGTTACAACTGTTTCTCTGGTTTTGCGACTGGTAACCTGGTTACCAGGCGTAGTGCTTTTGCTGGTTCGCTTGCTTTCTGCTCACTGTGCGCGCTTGGCGCTTTCCGGCTCTCTCATGTCTTAATCTGTTGCTTAGGGTGTGGACGGAAACCTCGGCAACACGGCCCCGGCGGTAGACGTCCGTCTAAGGTTAAATTCCTTTGTTTCGGGGCCGCCCGGTGGCCGAGTGGGTAAGATCGCGCGCTCTGCTTCCGCCACCCAGGGTGTCGCCGGCCCGGGTCGTGGGCGTGGACATGGCGCTGCTCATCAGGCCACGCTGAGGCGGCGTCCCACACGCCCCAGCTAGAAGGACCCGCAACTAAAATATACAACTATGTACCGGGGGGCTTTGGGGAGAAAAAGCAATTAAAAGAAAAATTCCTCTGTGTGTTTCGCATCATGCGAGAGAACCAGCGAACTTGTGTCCAGCTCTCTTGTTAGTGACGTCTAGCCCCCGGGCTCTCCCTCGCGGGGCTCCGGGCACCTGCCGCGCGGTGCCGCGACCCGGCGGAGCGAGGCCCCGGGAGCGGAGGTCACGCGCCGCGGGTCGAGCGGTGAGTCGCCTTTGCCGGCAGTCGCACCGCAGGGGCCGGGCCTGGAGCCGAGTGGTCGGGCTCCAGAGTCCCCGAGGGGCGCGTCTGAGGCGTCCCTTCCACGGGGGACCGCCCGTGGTCGCCGTCATGTGTCTGCCGCCCCGTGTGCAGCCGCCAGGATCAATCCCGTCACACTCTGTCCCGGGGGGTGTCGGCCACCACAGGGAGGTGCGGGGCTCCCCCTCAGCTCTCGTCGGCGCCTCCCCCACCCCGGCCTCCTGAAACTCTCTCAGCCGCCTGCCACCTCTCCCGTGTATTCGCCGCCTCTTCTCTCCAGTGTTGTCTTCATCCGCCTGCTTGACCTCGCCCTCCGGCCCCTGAGGTTGGCCCAGGCCGACAGGGTGGGGACGAACAGTTTCTGGTAGAAATACATCAGGCGGATGCGTTGTGAATAGGTGGGCGCCGCCTCCCATTTAGGTGACTTAAATCCCGTTCCTTCCTGTAGCCCTAGAATCTCTCTGCCGGACCCCTACCGCCCAGAAGAGACGACAGGCCGATGGGGTCACGCCTCCAAAGGCCTTCCCTGAGAGGGAGGGAAATTCGGCCGGGGGAGCTCTGTGGCGGTGTTGATGCCCTTTGGCTGCACGGCGGGCTCTCCTGGGGGCTCGACGAAATCAGACGCCGTCCCAGCACCACCATACGGCAACGGGATTGGGATCTCTGGCGTGGGGGCCCGAGGGTTTCCGGCGCACGGTGTGCCTCCGGGAAGCACTCCTTGGAGCCTCCGGTGAAGACTCTGCCGGTCAGCTTCCCTGCGAAACAACGGATTTTCCACGACGGTGAAAGCGTTCAGCGCGCTCCTGCAAAAGCCAGTCACGAGTGAGTTTCCGACAGTCCCAGGCCCGGCTTCGCGTTTAACACACCGGAGGCGCTTGGCAAGCGGTGTGGGAACGAGGCCATAGTGAATTTCCTGGTTCTGTCACAGGCAGAGGACCACCCGGCCCAAGCAGGTGTGAAGGAAACGGGGACCCCTCTCCCTGGTCTGACGGGCGAATCTAGCCAGCGAGCTGCAGAGGCTTAAAGTCAGTAGGCCGGAAAGCCAAGCTGTCCTGTGAGGCAGCCGTGCAGGCCTGGCAAGCCTGTGTCTAGACGACCTTGCAGCCCCTCACCACGTGACTGAAGACGCCAGCGGGATGCATCAGCAGTGGAAGAGATGGCGGGTACCTCCCTCTCTCGTTGCCCGGCTGCGGTTCCCAGAGACTGAGGGAAAGAGTGAGGACCCTGGTCCTTGCCCTCTTTACATGCATAGATAGCACTGACCTTACAGGCCCCGTGTCACGTATCACCAGAAAGTTCTCGTTGTCCTTGCAAGATGACTATCAGATGTGTAGGCCCGTTCCTGCACCTACCCTGCTTTGTTAACAGGCGTGTGAACTGCGCTCAGACCTGGAGACCTCAGAGTCCTCTGGTGGACCGTATCCTAGGCTTCGACCTCCTCGCTTTGGTTACCGAAGAAGCACCGTTAATTCACCTTCCCCCAGACTCTCTAGTTCAGTCCACACGGGGAGGCCTTGGGACCCGTGTGGGAATATGTTGAGAGCCAGTCCCGTAGCTTCTGTATTGAGTTGCCCTCTGCGGGACCGGATGCACCTCCTCCCGCCCCCCACCACCGAATTTGTTTTGGATGTTGAGACAGATGACACCACACACGAACCAAGAGGGTATGAAAAGGTTTATAACTCACACGATGAGGCTTTCCGGGGAGAGCCGGGTGGCTCCCAGGCAGATTTGGAACCCAAGGAAAGGAGACTGGGCTGGTGTTTTTATGGTGGGGAGCGGACGGAGGACCCGGGGTAAGGCTTTCACATCAGCTTGCCCGGCCGGGCGCAGGGCGGGAGGGGCAGAGGGAGTGGCGGGGCTCGAAAGCTGGCGGCCCTCAAACATCAAAACGAAGTCAGACTAGTGCTCGCTGCTTTCTGCTCCATGAAATGGGCGTGGAAAGCCGCCTTCCACGGGCACCGTACAGATGAAAGGGGACCTTCGTGACCCCACCTTCCACAGCAGACAGTCAACAAACGTCCGTGGGATCAGAGTCTGATGGCCAGCCAGCAGCCTCTTGGCATCTGCAGACGATGGTTCCCCAACTGAACGGCCTCGGTCTCATTTAAGGAGGGCTCCAGCCAGAGCCAGGGTGGGGCGAGGCGGGGGTGTGGGCTCCCGTGAGAGGCTGAACCAGCTGGCCTAGTCTGGGATGTGAATGAGTCTGCGAGGGGACCGACCTGGGGGTGGGGGGTCGATTACGGTAGGAAAGAGCCCACGAGAAGCAAGCTTTCCCTGAGGCAGTTCCGAGAGGCCCAGATCATAACCTCGAGGTGGCTGGGCAGGCCGGCGGGGTGCGCACCGGTCCCCTCATTTGCCCACGCTCTTGCCTCAGGCTCCAGTGCCCAGCTTCCCTCCTCATGTCAACATGCACCCCCCCCCGCCCCCCCCCCCTTGGTAATTCTGACTTGTCCTATGAGCCCTCTCGGATGTCAGGAAGGCCTTCCAGATCCAGCTGGCTTCCTGATCCGTCCCACCTTCTCATTTATTGGGGGTGTGTCGCATGCTCCCGCCTGTAGGGAGAGACACAGAGCCAAACGGGAGAGGCCTCGGGCCTCAAAGGGGTCACGACCAGGGTGGGAGCCACAACCACGTGTTCATCTGTCACGGTCCCCGCCTCCTCATCGAACCTCGAGTTCTGGCCATTGGGGCAAGCGTCGTAGTCCCGGTCCTGGGCCGGCCGGTCCTCGGAGTCAGGAACGGCGTCTGGCCCATCTCTACTTCCAGGACCAAGCGCAGGCCCTGGTGGGTCAAGGGTCAAGTCACAGGTGATCGATGACCGTTCGTTAGGTTGAAACCGGTGGTGATGGCAGGAGGCCCAGAGTCTGGTGGGGTCAGACCCCGGACCCCAGCTCAGACACTCGTAGCTGTGTCTTCCTGAGCAAATCCGTTTCCCCAGGGCAGAGACAGGAGCTTTATCACTCGGCCTCCTGTTTGGTGGGAGGGTCCGTCCACTCCGTGGTGCCTGTCCCTTCCGGAACCGGCACGCATCCCTTCTCCCGAGAGAATTGTTAACCCTACCCGCGCCCCCCACTTGACCGCGAACGCCCAGGGGGCAGGGATCGGAGCACAGTCACCGCTCAGTGTCGGGCTCTGTCTGATGGGTGCGCAGCTGTCATCTGCCTGGAGGGGATGGGTCAGTCCGCGGGTGGACTCCCCGAATCAGAGGTGGTTAGGTCAGTGTGTCCTGCTACTTTTTAAAGGAGTCTTACAGAAATGTGTGTGCGACACAGTTTAGGACGAAAGGTGGCAAGTCAAATGGGTGCAGGGGAAATTCACTCATTTACACTGTACTCCAGAGTAAATACCGACCGGCTCGAAGACTTCGAAGTTCAGAAAGAGGAAGAAAACGACCCAGAGGAAGACTTAGGACATCATTTTATAACCTCATGGGTGAAGTCCTCTCTAACTGTGACTCAAAATCTGAAAGCGACTTTTTAAAAGTTGACAAATATGATGATATAAAAAAAACCCACACAACTTTCGATGGAACCTTAAGCAAATGGAATCATCACCTTAAGTAAAGCCAACAGCCAGATGTCCGATGGGAGAAAATATTCACCGCTTCTTACATGACCTACAAAGGGCCGGCCCCCTTAATGCGTAAATTGTGGCTCCAAGCCCTTCTGATGGAGCCCGACCGACCGACCGACGGATGAGCCGGCAAAGCCCCGCAACAGGGAGTCCACAGAAGGAAAGTAAACGCGTCCCTCCAGCACGGGAGAGGACGCTCAATCTTACCCCTGATTAGGGAACTGCCGGCCAAAACTGCGCCCAGGGACCATTTCCACCTGTAAGAGCGAACCCTCCCGCTGGCCCCCACCCATTCCAAGGAACGTAATCCAGGACGTCCCATTCTCAGGACGAAACCACCCGGGGAGGGGCCCGCCCCGCGGCGCAGTGGTCAAGTTCGCGTGCTCGGCTTTGGCGGCCCGGGGTTCACGGGTTCGGATCCCGGGCGTGGACCTAGCACTGCTCGCCAAGCCGTGCTGTGGTGGCGTCCCACATAAAATAGAGAAAGACTGCATAGATGTTAGCTCAGCGACAATCTTCCTCAAGCAAAAAGAGGAAGATTGGCAACAGATGTTAGCTCAGGGCCAATCTTCCTCAAAAAAGGAAAGAGGGAAGGAAGGAAGGAAGGAGAAGAAACCACCCGGGGAGTCGAGCAGAAGACGGCTCAAAGAACAGGGACGCGAGCAGAGAGGTCCTGAGTAGGGAGGAGTGGGGGTGGGGGTGGCGGTGGCTGAAGAGCCCGGGCACTGGCTGAGCGAGTCGGAGGCAAGATCTCATTCACTGAACGGTTGTTGGGGGTGCAGTACGTGCGGGGAGGTGGAGAGGTGGGGAGGTGGGCAGCGGACTAAACCAAGTTCGCCGTGCCAGCTCTTGCTTCGCGGTCTTCCTTCCCCGCAGCCGCCCCTCCTCTCCGGTCTTTGCGCCCCGGGGACGCGCCAGCCGGGCTTGGGCTCCCCGCGCGCACAGGCGGTCCGGAGGGTGGAGTCGGCCCGCGGTAGCCGCGTCTCCTCGGCGGGCAAAAGGCGGGGCATGCAGATTAGAAGCGGCTGTTCAGCGCGAGAACGACGGAGCAACCAGGGATCCAGAATTTCCCGTTAAAACTGTAGAGAATGAAAAATCTGCACAAGAGCCGACTGCCTAGCGATTCCCACGGTGCTGTCAAAGGAGCAAAGGAAGGGAGACCCGGACTGAGCGGGCGGCGACTCGCCGTGAGCTGAAGGTGCGTGCTAGGCGGGCGGCGACGGCGAGGGGACGGGCTACGGGCATCGCTTCTCGGCCTTTTGGCTAAGATCAAGTGTAGTATCTGTTCTTATCAGTTTAATATCTGATACGTCCTCTATCCGAGGACAAAATATTAAATGGATTTTTGGAGCAGGGAGATGGAATAGAGAGGTTGCTCCGTCCACTCCGCGCATCGACCTGGTATTGCAGTACCTCCAGGAACGGTGCACTTTCTCTCCCTATTATTCGTGTACTAAGTATAGACTGTAGCCTCCCGGTTCTCACTTCTTTTTCCCACGCTGGCTTTTATTTCGTTTGCACGTGTAGATTTTTTTCCCTTTGCTTTCTGCTACTTGTGTAAACGGCCTGCGTCCTTCGGCGCTTCTGTTTTTCCTCGTCGTTCCCGCGAGATTTCGCGTTTCTTTGCGACGCTGCGTCCGGGGCCGGTGAGTAGATCACGCTGCCTCCGCCGGCGCTCGCTTTTCCCAGGCTGCGGTTTGGCTGCTCTTGGCTCTCGCGTTCTTTAACCAAGTAACGGGCGAGTGTCTCCGGTACCCATTCGTACTGGGTGTCGTTGGCGGCCGAGAGACTGAAATTGCGTGAGCTCCTGTAATCGCCGCAACCCCAAATCCGGACATCGGTATCCTCCGACGGGGGGAGGCGGTGTCTCCGGGGAACACACTTGAGTGACTGGCAGGGCCAAGGCTGCAGCTGGCTCGGAGGCTCCGCGCCCCTCGCCGTTCAAGCCCGCCTGTCAGGAGGTGCGTACACCTTTCGTGGTCGGCCGCTGCAGTCCTGCTCTCCGAGAGGACCCCCTATGCCCGTCTGTCACAAGAAGCCTGCGCCTCCCAGCTCTTCCCCGTTTCCAGTCTCTTACCCCATTAGGCTCTCTGCGTCCTTTCGGACCTCTTCTCCAACCCCGCTCCCGTTCCTGAAACCTTGTGCTTCTCGCTGTCGTCCACCCCGCCACGCACCCCACCCCCACAACCACCCCCAATTCTCAGTCTCCCTTCGCTGCTTGCTCTAACCTTCCCCTGAGGACATGCGTTCCTGGAGCCTGCTCACCCGGTGGCTGTTTGCTCTCTCCACCCCTCATTCCACTGGGCTTTGCTTCACGTCCCTTAGAGACCACCCTCCTCTTCCCTCACTGCCCACCAGACAAGCGTTGAGTCGCACACCACCAGAATATACCCTCCACTGCCTCTCCTTGTTCCTGTCGTCTGTCCAGCCGCCGGTCACTCCCCTGGAGATTTTAGCTCCTGGTTCCCTGTCTCTCCCCAACACACTCCTGTCGTCATTCTCGGTGTTCTCAAAGGCGCGCAGATGATCCTGCCGAAGCCCTGGCCTCTCAGTTCCTTGCCCTCGCCTCTACCCAAGCCACTCATTCTCCTGGCCCGACCCGCGATCTTGTCATTACCAACGGCTATAACCCCGTCCACTTCCAGCATCGCACTCTCCAGTCACCCTCTTCGACCTCCCTCTGCTACCCTTTGGTACCTGCCACCTTTCACTGTCCCTTCTCCCCCACCCCCCACCCCCAATGTCCCTGCATCCCCGTTGACCCAGATGAATTTCCTTGCACGTACCCTCAGCTCCCTTGCCACGTCCCTGCTCTGTCATACTCACGTGGCCAACCTCCACCTCTCTAACTACCCTGGGCTGCACCTGTGCCACTGAACGTCGCTGGCCCCAAAACATACAACCGGGTGGAGCCGGCTCACCTTAACTCTCGGTATGCGCGGGGAGCGGGGGGTACTGACAAGGACATCAACATTTGCTATCCGGGATCCCATGGGCCCTTATGCAAGACGGGCCTTTTTTCCTTTCTCTCTTTTTTTTTTTTTTTTTTTTTTTTAAGATTTTTATCTTTTTCCTTTTTCTCCCCAAAGCCCCCTGGTACATAGTTGTATATTCTTCGTTGTGGGTCCTTCTAGTTGTGGCATGTGGGACGCTGCCTCAGCGTGGTGTGATGAGCAGTGCCATGTCCGCGCCCAGGATTCGAACAAACGAAACACTGGGCCGCCTGCAGCGGAGCGCGAGAACTTAACCACTCGGCCACCGGGCCAGCCCCAAGAAGGGCCTATTTTTATATTTGTGTCTTTTTGTGAATGACTTATAGAAGTAAAAATAACGGATAGTGGGAAACGACTTTGTTGAAAATTGACATAAGAATTTAAACATAGCAAACCCACATCTTCCCCTCATATTTTCCAGGTTTTGAAGGTCTAAATACGTGAATCCGGCGACATCCTCCAAATGCCATGAACTGCTCATGGACCGTCAGGCCCAGCCCCGTGAAATACTGCTTCCCGATTGCAAATGCATCACTGATAGGTTCTAGCTTATCCCTACTTCTGGTTCTTCTTGCACTTACATGGTCAAAACACAATCGTCGAAGAAATTTTTTAAACCCTTGGTCGCTCATAATTTTGTCAAATTGCAAATTCTGGACTTTGGGAAAATTCATCTAGGATATTGCCATTTGAAGACGTGCAGCCTGAGATTTCACTTATATATAATCCCCGTCACCACCCTCATTAGAGTCCAGTCCTTTGCTTTCATCTTCTGATTCGTCTAATAGTCTAATAATTCATCTGCTAGAAACACGCTCCTCTGTCAGTTTTCTTTCCTTTGCCATTATGGCCGGGGGTGGGGCAGATTTCCGAATTCTCGGCTGTGTTCAGAGAAAGCAAAAATCAGACTACAAAGAGCTGTCTCCCATCTGCTTGTTTCCTTCCTGAAAGAGGATTTGATCGATACCTTTTCTTAGCGACACAAGAAGAAAACTGAAGGATCACGCCATAGGGACGACTCGCTCCACTGTTGCATCAATCCTGTAAGGGACTCCTTCATTCCTCCATTTCGTTAGTCTTGTAGACTTTTCCGTCATAGTTGGGGGTTGGTGAATAGCTGCAGAAAAAAAATATTCCTAGGATGATGAAACAGTAAATTTTTTCAAGAGAGAGGGAAACTAAGATCGCTAAGATCCTGTGATGCATCTTAGATTTTGTGAGAGACAAAAGCAGCCCCGGAAGCTGGCCTGCCACCCACAGCTAGGCCGTGGTGGTCTCCCGGTGAATGTAAACGATCTCACAGAACGTCACCGTCAGACAAGGCCGCTATGTGACCGTGATGGATCAAGGCAGAAATAAGACCACTCCGTAGTCACGTCCGAACTCAGACAAAGAAGAAGAATATAGTGTCCAAATGAGAAAATTCACCAAACACCGCCCCCCCCCCCCATCCTCGATGCTCTAATATGGGTAACTGCTGCTACGTTACCAGTTACAGCTTTGGCTATGGCCCTATTCTTCCCTCCTTCTGGGTAAGATTTATTCAGCTACCCAGTCACAGAATTACCCCCAACTTCCTGAGAACATCTGTAGGGGAGGAAAAAAGTCTTTCCCCTTCTACCCTTCTATGTTCTCCACGGTTAGGGCTTTGTAACAAAAGACAGATCAATGAGAGAAAAATAAACAGAAGTTTATTAGCATGTGTATCTCATATATACGTGGGAGCAACTCAGGGATGAGTAACTCAAAGGGGTGGGTAGAACTTGGGCTTATATAGCTGATAAAAGAAAGAGAAAAGAACGAGGCCAGAGTCGACGTGATGATTACCATGACCGCCTCAAGGCTGAACTATGGGCAAAAATAAAAAACTACATTTTAACCTTCACTGTCACCAGATGGCCGGAGAACAACTCGGTAGTATTTCCCTGCAGTTAGAACATTTAGAAAGCCCCGGACACAAGATAAACTGTAGCTGGAAAGGGTGACCAATCAGAACTGGACTCAGCCTTAACCTTGCGTACTCTGCACCTTTTACCTTTAAAACCTGGCCACCCCAAGACCGAGGCAGCACAGGTGTTAGCTCAGGGCTAATCTTCCTCAGCAAAAAATAAAAAATTAAAGATAATTGTATTTCCAACTTGGGGCATGCCTTCCACAGTCTCCAGTGATCAAGGCACCTGCGTCACTGAGCAAACCGTGCAAGCTTTAATGAAAATCCTTTAAACTTCTTGGACTTTTAAACTTCTTGGCTCCTATCATCCTCAATCATCAGGCAAAGTTAAGAAAGTTAATGGAAAAACTGGATTCAAGCAGAAGAAATCTTAAACTGCATGGGACTATGTGAATTGAGGAAGACGTTCTAATGTTTTGCTTTTCCAGATTTAAAGAAATCTTTTCTCTTAAGCTAAATATGACTTATAGCAATTTGTAAGCAGAATTGAAGCGTTGATCTTTTTCTCCCTACCTGATCCCTCCAGAATTTGGAAACTCTTGATAAGTGAGTGTTCTTATTTTTCATGGCAATATGATTGTTTGCATAAGTTCGAATAGAATCTGTTCTCCTGATAGCAGGACACGGCTGGAAACACTGGTTATATTACCAAGGCTTTGACTGGAATGTCATGTTAAACAAACAAACAAGAAACCCCCAAAACATGCATAGACTCGGATATGACCAAACAGCTTTAAGGAACAAGGATTGACTTTATGGAACAAATAAAGCCACTTGGAAATATTGGCCTGGTACCTTGCTTATAGGGTTCCCAGCAACCTTACCAGGTGAGTAAAGAAGGTCACTTCCCTGGCAGGTGCAGGAACCTCAGGCTATTTGGGGGACCTCGAAAAGAGAGGGCTTCACCCAAACGTGTAGGCATTGCAGGTGAGGTCTAATGACAAGTCCTTGACTTGGCTTTCCTGGCCTCGAGAGGCTTTTAAAGTTCAATCTGAGATTCCTTATGAAAGGTTCCAGCGAAGCAGATTTAAAAGAGCCCGTATTAGGGCCGGCCCGGTGGCACAGCGGTTAAGTTCGCACGTTCCGCTTCAGTGGCCCGGGGTTCGCCGGTTCGGATCCCGGGTGCAGACATGGCACCGCTTGGCAAGCCATGCTGTGGCAGGCGTCCCACATATAAAGTGGAGGAAGATGGGCACGGATGTTAGCTCAGGGCCAGTGTTCCTCAGCAAGAAAGAGGAGGATTGGCAGCGGATGTTAGCTCAGGGCTGATCTTCCTCAAAAAAAAAGAGCCCATATGATCCATTGCTATTCTTGCTGTACTTGTGTGAATAATTGGGCCAAGTTTATTAAAACTAGACTTATTTTGCAAACCAATGAGTCTTAATGTCACTATCTTTGGTAAAAAAAAAAAGAGGGCGATTTTAGACAGAAAAATTATGTTCCGGTAAAAACTATAACACACATTTGTGGATAATAGATTCTAGCTCTGTTAATTGTCTTGAGCTTTTTGTTTCCTGCCTGTAAACTGGACTGGATCCTGAATCCTTCTAGTTTCCTCAAATATCTGATACACATCAAACTAACGTTTTCCGTTTTTTCCATCCTTTTCACTTGAAGTCATTAAAAACTGAAGCCACCCTTTTTTCCCGAGGCCCTGAAAACTGAAACTGGACGGCTTGGTGTAAACTTAAGAGAGATCACCACGATGGCCCATGTTTAGAGACTCTTCATGTCTGTTGCTGTATAGGCCATTTAAAAGCTTTATCTGAACACCCAATGACATCATCAGAGACACTGCAAAATGCAAAGGCTGTTTCAACCCTGACATCTGGAAATCTTTTTGACTGGCCATCCCCTGGGCTGAGAAATTAACTTGTAATTGGCTCCAACCATTAACCTTGTTTTTCTTTTGTTCGTCAGATTTCACTTGAGTTTCCAGGCCCAACCTTGATTGGTTTACAGGCCTCTTCTCTTGGATTCCCCAAGGATTGAGATCCATTATGGAGGGGATACTAAAATTTGGGCTGTGGGCTGGCCCGGTGGCACAGCGGTTAAGTTTGCACGTTCCGCTTCAGTGGCCCGGGGTTCGCCGGTTCGGATCCCGGGTGCAGACATGGCACCGCTTGGCAAGCCATGCTGTGGTAGGCGTCCCACATATAAAGGAGAGGAAGACGGGCACGGATGTTAGCTCAGGGCCAGTCTTCCTCAGCAAAAAGAGGAGGATTGGCAGCAGTTAGCGCTAATCTTCCTCGAAAAAAAAAATTAAATTTGGGCCGTCTAAGATGTGTGGTCGTCTATGTAATTATAAAATATGAACTTAAGTGTTGTTCCAAAGCCCTTGATCAGGGCACCAAAATATTAGTCATGCAGAGCATTCCCCGCTCTCCCCACCTAGCAACCCAAAATATTTTAAAGTAAAGGTAAAAGGATTTCATTTCTCTGACCCTGATCTTTGCCCTTGCACAGCAGGAAGTAGCTGGCACGGTCTTCGCTCCCATTCCGCAAGATTGAGGAGTGAGCATAAGACAGTGGGGGTTGAAACCGAGAATGACAGAGTTAAAATTTTCCCTGGATTAGGGTGAAACCATGCCTGTACCCCACAAGGCTGACGTGGGAAACAAAGTAACCAAAGTTCCTGGGCTTGTTTGCCAGAACCAACAGGAGGCCTGCTGCTAAGAGAGCAACTGGCTGACAGCCTCCTCCACCTGACTGAGGATTGCACAGCGGTGTCTGGACGCCACCCTGCCACTGGCAAGCCACATGATGCTGACTCAGGCCACCACCTACGTTCAGCCCATGCTGCACTCTGATGCCTCCTACACGGGACTGGATGGGGCCCAAACAGCCGAGGGGGCACTTGGGCATCAAGGGACCTGAATACTCCCCAAATTGATCAAAGGTGTCGCCCTGGCAAACCTACGATTAAGAGGGGGAAATGACAAAAGAAAGAGATAAGAACGAGGCCAGAGTCAGCGTGACCCCCTCAAGGCTGAACTATGGGCAGAAATAAAAGATTACATTTTAACCTCCACTGTCACCAGGATGGCCGGAGAACGATGCGGTCGTTTTTCCCTGCAGTTAGAACACTTAGAAAGCCCCGGGCACAAGACAAACTGTAGCTGGAAAGGGTGGCCGATCAGAGCGGGACTCAGCCCTAACGTTGCATACTCTGCACATTTTTGCCTTTCCAACCTGGCCACCCCGAGACCGGGGGAGTGGGAGGCGGGGGGTGCTCACCTATCAACTTGCGAGTTGAGGCATACTTCCCTGGTTTGCAAACGTTTAATAAAGCTTCTCTTTTCTTTAAAACTTATCTTTGCCTCGTCAAGCTGCTCATTTGGGTTAACACAGCCTCTTAAAACAAAAGAAACAAAGAAACAAAAAAACCCAGTAAGTTTCCAGACAAGTGACAAGACAAAGGGAAAGGACTTTGAGTTTCTGGGGTGGCAAACCGTGGAAAGGTAAATATGTGGGGAATGATGGAAGATAAGGGCTAGTCACCAACGTTTGTTGTGCAGAGCCCTCTGGTGCCAGTCTCTGGGCTGATAAGGGTCTAGAGTTGTCGGTGATTAACTTCTGTACAAATTTGTGTCCTGCTTTTAGGCAAATAGGGGGAGGGCAGAGAGCTTCTCTCCTGTCTGCTTCAGCTCCAAGTAATCCTTATGCCAAAGTGGCATGTTTTGGGGGGGGGAGGGGGGCGGAGGGGGGGGGCAAATCCGGCTACCCTTCACATCCCATCCAGAGGAAGGGCTCGCTTACTTAAACTCTCCCCAAACCCCCATATAATAAGCCATTCCCGACACCCTCTTACTGAGATGCCCCACGGTTCCCCGCGGCGTGTGTCCTCTCTCGTTCTGCTACAAGAAATAGACCCAACTCGGTTCACTACGGGTGTGTTCCTGGTGGTCTTTGGCTGGGTGGTGTAGACAAGTTATTACAAGGGTCCGCCAATGGACCCTCGTGGTAATTCCAAGATGGAATGAGTTTTATTCTGTTTAAAAAGCAAAGCAAAGTCTCCCCTCTTTTCGTTGGAAGACCTATAAAAGAGAATGTAAGTCACGAAATATCGGTATTTACAAACAGAACCGCTCAAAAAAGAAACTTAAAAAAGAGAGAGCCAGAGAGAAAAGGTTGTTGATCTCATGTCTTAAAAAAAAAAAAAAACACCTCCCAGGGGTGGGGCCGGCCCAGTGGCGCAGTGGGTAAGTGCGCATGTTCCACTTCACCGGCCCAAGGTTCGCTGGTTCGGATCCCGGGTGCGGACATGGCACTGCTTGGCAAGCCATGCTGTGGTAGGCGTCCCACATATAAAGTGGAGGAAGATGGGCACGGATGTTAGCTCAGGGGCCAGTCTTCCTCAGCAAAAAGAGGGGGATTGGCAGCAGATGTTAGCTCAGGGCTACTCTTCCTCAAAAGAAAAAAACGAAAAGCAAAACTCCCAGGGCAAGACAGGTTGGTAAAAGCCTAGAGGGATAGATAGATTTGTATCTGCATCTGTATATGTGTACGTGTATACAACACACAACAGTAAGAGGATGTCAGGTGGTGGGTGTTCACTGTAAAATTGTTTCAACGTAGCTGTGTGTTTGAAAAAAAGAAAAAGAAAAGAAAAAAAGTGTCAGCGAAAATAATCCATAACCAATCTATAAATCAGAATTGGGGTGAGTTTATTATGAGCCAGATCTGAGGACTAGCTCAGCCAGGGGTCTTCCTTCCCCAAGGAAGGAAGGGCACCAAAGAATTGAGGGTGTACAGAGAGGTTATATACCCTCAAAGAGCATGTATCACATGTAGTTGTTTTACAAATGTCACGAGATTGCCCTGTTGGCACAGGGATTGATGGACACAGCAGGTAGTAGGTCTGCCTTCTGGTGGACACAGCAGGGTAGCAGATCTGTTTTCTCGAGCTGGGTGGTCACAGGGTGGGCGCAGCAACCAATTCCTAGCCTAGGGAGTGATGCTCGTCCTTAAGGAAATGCCAGTGTGGGGGAAGTTGCATCTTTATCTTAAGGCCATTTGCTCTTGTCTCTGGGACATAGCAAATGCTTAAAGCAGATATGCAATGCGTGCTCAAAGGCCACGTTAGGCCCTTTTGGAAAAATAAGGTCAGGCCGAACTAGGTTTACACCAAATGGCTTCCTCATGTACTCCAATATATCCTATTGCTTGCCATTTGTTTATCAAAGGAAAGAAAGCGATGTGGAAAAGAAAAGCCTCACAGAGCTGTTTGCGTCTTTCTGGATCTGGGCTTTTCCAGGGAAAGGAGGCTGAAGGAGGCTTCCGCCAGCTGGCGAGTTCCTGTTCCAAGGTGACAGGGCCCCGGAGCAAGGCAGGAAACGGCGCGTGTGTGGGCGGGGCATGCAAATTTAAAACGGCTGTTTTTGCCCGGGAGCTATGGGAGCAAAAAAATAGAAATCGTAAAAGCCCCAAATAAGTTAAACAATCCGACAAACTATGTATGTCTGACAAGTTGTGACAATGACACACTGTCAAGTCCAGCGAAGAGTGTGGGCTTTCGTTTGAGGGTGGCTTTTCTCACCGTGACCACAAAGAGGTGTGAGAGGAAGGGTGTCGCCGGGCAGGAGTAGGGGTGGTTATCGCTTCTCGGCCTTTTGGCTAAGATCAAGTGTAGTATCTGTTCTTATCAGTTTAATATCTGATACGTCCTCTATCCGAGGACAATATATTAAATGGATTTTTGGAGCAGGGAGATGGAATAGGAGCTTGCTCCGTCCACTCCGCGCATCGACCTGGTATTGCAGTACCTCCAGGAACGGTGCACC